CTAGAATCATGTGGATGATTTCAGCCGCGGAATTGACAATCTCTACTGAACTAAAAGCAAAAGGTTAGGGTGACCAGATATTATTTGCTATTTACCCAGGATGGTCCCAGTTTTGAGCCCTGTGTCGTCTGTCCCAGCAGATCTATCCAAAACCAGTTATTTGCTCTAGTTTTATACAAAAAATGTCCCTGGTTGTCCCTATTTTTGACCAATTTGATTCCTGGCAGTAAACAGTAAAGAGAGGCAGAAGTTGTAATTTGTTAACATAAAATAAAGAAAAGCTGCTTAAAAATGACCAAAACACAAAGAAAAAGTGACTACACATGTTGTACAAATGTACATTACGCACTAGTTTCACAACTTTATTACTACCAACCACCAAAAAAACAGGGATGTCCCATTTTTTTAAATTTTTAAATTCTGGTCACCCTATAAAAGGTTAACCAGGCTGGCGCCACCTAGTGCCTCCACTCTATTTCATTTCTCTCCAGCAACTAGATCAGAAATCAAATTACACTAGACGGTTCACAAAAACCCAGGGAGTGCAAGTTTGGGCACCAGCCAATCAGCAAAGAGTCATATACTCAGTGTTGTCAACAATTCCTGAGATCAAGGAATTAAAACCAGAATAAAGAATGTTTGGTGAATTTCATCAAGGAGAAAGACATTATTGTCCTTCTTCCTACGGGATTTGGGAAAAGATTAATATACCATTTAACCCTGTTAGCCGCGCATTACATACGTGATTACCAAATAGTAGCGATTGGTTAAATGATAAAAGTACCTGCCTACCGTTGAGAGAACGAATCGTAACACTGCGAGGTGAGATGATTTATACAAAGTGAAACCGGCTGATGAATCAGACTAATAAACGGTAGCTGTTAACTTGAAAACTACCACTTCATGACATCACAAGGTGGAACAAAGCTTTTTGAAGTTTGGAGATGTAGAAAGAGTTAAAGGGTTACTCCAACATGTGTGAATGAAACAAAACACAACTCCAGGTCTGTTTTTGAGGAGGTAACAACATTCTAACATGGCTAAAAGCTCACAAGAGATTTGCATAATACAGGCCCCTTAAATGTAGGCTGTGTGGTTCGAAAACACTAACATGAGTATGAGAGTATCCATATAGTGTAACAAACACAATAAATAAAGAGATTTCCTCATATATACTTCAAAATATTCAAAATAAATATTCAACTTTGACAATAGCAATAAATAATATAACTTAGTTTCCATTACCTCTAAGCAATAGGTAGATATGAAATATGCTGTAAACAGATTTTCCTTGACACAGTACAGTATATTGTATAGTGAATGTGCACCACAATAATGTCATATGTCATAATTGGCTCAGTGCACAACGGTGCACAGCTAGCTCCACTCGCCGACAGTGTTACAGCTGGACAATCACTGACAACAGGTTAGCGACTTATTTAATGACTAGGCCACAGGAGTGCACTTGTAAGTATATTAAAAGTATATTAAAGTGGCCCTTTGTGTCTCAAAGCTAATGCTAAATTTAATCAAGAAAAAATATGTAGCAAAGTTAGGGTGATTCTATTTACTCGAGACAGTCCCAGTTTTGATCCCTGTGTCCCCTGAACAAGCAGATTTACCCAAAACCAGTGATTGGTCCCAGTTTTATACAAGAAATGCCCCCGGTGTCCCTATTTTTGACCAATCTTGATAAATGCCAACAGTAAAGAGAGGCATTAATTGTCTAGGTTTTTTTTGTTTTAGGTTTTGTTTAGGTAAAACTATGGAAAACACATGACTATTCTGATTCACGTTATCATGAATAAGTCATGAATGGGCCAAGTGCATAATCATTTTCTTTAATTATGCACTCGGTTCACAATTTTATTATTATCAACCACGACCAACTCGGGTGTATCCCAGTTTCTGATTTTGAAGATCTGGTCACCACTTAGTGCTTTCTGCTGCTGTGACATTGCACCTTGACACTGTGTGTGATAGTGTCACGCAGTTGGCTTCCCGTAATTGTTAGTAACAATGTGCCCGATTGGATGAAAAAAGGTGAGCCTCGATGAGCTTCGTTTGACTGAAGCCAAATGCTACCTTAAATTCCGGACTATAAGCCGCTACTTTTTTCTCACACTTTAAACCCTATGGCTAATAAAATTATGCCGCTAATAAATGCACGGATTCTTTGTTTGGCATATTGTCCATTCATATATGCGGTCTAAACTTCAGAAGTCGGACATACACTCATACCTGATTGACAGAACTAACCCTGGCCCCGAGAGAGTCTGAAATCTGCTGACATCCTCCAAAACACTGACATGATACAGACAGGACAGAGGCTCTTTCTGCAGGAGACATGTGCAGTAGAGCGCGGGGAGAGATGAGGTGATACGCCTGGGAAGATGCTGTTTGAATGTGTTTTGAACAGTTTTGTGCTTCATACACACACACTCCTCATGGAAAACACAAGAAGAAATGCAGATGATGCAGCTTTTAAGTTAACGGTGATTGATGTGATTGTCGAAGAAGGAAACAGAGCTGCTGCACATGAGCTTGACATCAGTGAGTTGATGGTGAGATTTTGGTGATGGCAGCGGGACGAACTGACTCAACGCAAAAAGACGACAAAAGCTTTCAGAGGCGATAAAAGCAGACGACCTTAACTTGAAAACGTTCTTGAAGACGTGGACACCTGTGGCTTATATTCAGGTGCGGCCTACATATGTATAATTTTTAAATTTTGGTAAAATTTAGTTGATGCGACTTATATTCAGGTGCTCTCAATAGTCCAGATTTTACGGTATGTCAATGACTTAGTAAACTTCTTTATACAGTCTATGTTACCACCCTAGAAAATGCTGTGTAAAACAAGCACATGGTATTGGATGGGCTTATTTTCTTATTTAGCAACTTTAGTTATACAATGCATGATGTAAAAAACATTTATCTTGACAAGAATAAGTCAAAACTGAGGTACAGGCCCTGTAATAGTAACTTTAGTTTAATAGTAGTTTTTATTTTCAGATAATTTTTGTTTGTGGCATTATAATATTTACTATGCACTAAAATAAGTTAGCATTAGGATTGAGACATTGAGACATGTTGTCACAATTCAATAACCGCACTTGTGACTGGAACTAACCAGGTACCGCTGTGTAAAGAGCCAAGTGTCCCCTGAATATTAAAGAACATAAGCAGCAACAACCACAGACTAGTCAAATCAAATAAAACTCTATTGTCCCAGTGTATAAATATATAGATTGAAGCCATCACCTGCTGAAAGAGAGCACTAAATACTCTGCAACACTGGCAACATTTTTGACAGTGTGGATTGTGGGGTTGGTCATTTTGGTATTTTAATCTGTAGGGTCTTACACATTCATTTAATTATTTAAATTAGACCAATTTTGATCATTTTAATCATTAGACCTAGAATATATTTACTTTAATTTCACACATTGCCTGCCAAATCTAGTATGATATCCCAGGATTTTTTATACACAGGAATACATGCATCACGAATTTTGGAATTCCAGTCATTGTGCAATGCATACTGGGAAGAATTTTCTGAAAAAGTGAGCATCAAACCGTTTGTTTTCCCAGTGGGATGCATCTATTGACAAAGCCGATCTTTTCAAGTCTTTTAAACCATATCGCTTTTGTTTCTGGTTCTGATATTGTCATATTTTAGTTTTGGGATTCGAACATTGTAATTGTGTGGTTGTTGGATGTCCTAACAGTGGAAAACAGCTCCAGAAATGGGCTTCGGAAGTTTGCGCACTCCATAAATGCAAAAGGGAATCAGATCTGTGTGACTACAAACCCCCATGTTTCCCTTCCCAACAGAATAGAAAAATAGTGCAAGGTGAAGGCGATAGGCAGTATTGATACACAGGGAGGACGAAAAAGGAAACCTTTGGCTGCCTAAGAAATCATCCCGTGTTTGCAGTGAATATTTTGTATGTGGTTGATCCCTCGCTCAACCTTGGTTACAAATTTAAAAAGTCAACGCCAAAGCAAAAGGCACCAGCTGTTCGCCAAGACCCACCTTCCACTGCAAAGCGACCAAAATGTGATGTTGGTGTAAAGTCAGTCGAACAAAAAAGTACGAGCTCAGCCTGCTCGTCTTCTGTTTCTCTCGCTTAGCAAAAGGGATTTTGCTTTGATGGTTCTCCATATACAAAATGTTTGCAGCAAACTTGGGATGATTTCTTAGGCAGCCAAAGGTTTCCTTTTTTGTCCTTCCTGTGTATCAATACTGCCCATCACCTTCGCCTTTCACTATTTTTCTATTCCGTTGGGAAGAGAAACAAAGAGCTTTGCAGTCACACAGATCTGATTCACTTTTGCAGTAATGGAGTTTGCAAACTTCCGAAGCCCATTTTCCGCTGTTAGGACATCCAACAACCACACAATTACAATGTTCGAATCCCAAAACTACTAGATGACAATATCAGAACCAGAAAACAAAAGCGATATGGTTCAAAAGACTAGAAAAGACTGGTTTTGTCAATAGATGCATCTCACTGGGAAATCAAACATGGCAGTTTGATGCTTACTTTTTTGGAAAATTCTTCCCAGTATACACTGCGCAATGACCGGAAGTCTGAAATTCATGATGCATGTATTCCAGTCTGGTCACCACACCCTCTGTTGCATCTTAAGTCAGAACCAAACATGATGGTCCAGAATCATTTCTTTCAGTGATTGCTCATTGATTCTGCAGAAATCTGCAATGTTTTTCAGTCCCCTGAGATATTTTTTTTCCATTTTGTTTATCCTTGTAAGCAGCCATATTTGTTTTGATACCGACAGACCGTGCGTGTCCCTGATTGGCTAATCCACTTTGTCAATCACACCCATGGATGGACTCAAGGAGATTCACCAGTGACCAGAAAGTATTGGAGAAGTGTATATTCTGGATCCCAAGCAACAAACGAAAAAGAATTACTCTTCAAATAAACAATCAGAATTAAAATATAGAAAGTAGATCACCTAATCTACTACTATTACTACTAATAAGAAAAAAAATAATTTAAATTTTAAATATTTAGACATGAGGTTTAAACCCTAAAATGGACTAAAACACAAAACTGTCCAAACCCATACCAATATGTCACTACCACGTTTGTGTCAAAGTTGCACATTTGCCTGCCTCTCTCCACACCGGGTCACTTCCTGGTCAGCTGTGATGTCATCTGGACGTCTTCACCTGATTGGCCGGCGGGGCGTACAGGTACTTCCATATGGCGTAGTAGTGCACGGCTGCTCCCATGGCAACGAACAAGGTGCCAGATGGCGTGGGCGAACGGGACGATGCCGTCGCTCTTGAAGAAGACCATGCCCAGGCAGTAACAGGCCCCGCCCATCAGCAGCTCGTACAGGCCCCCCTTCTCCGGCTGTGGACACAACACGCATATTTAGAGATACTTTCCACTGACGTCAAGCTGGGGGAAGGGGCATGTATGTCTATGGAGAAATGTTCAGCAGTTACAATGGTGACACAACAATAGATTGTATTAAAAAGTGGAGTAAGGGAGTGTGACGTCACTAGGGGTTGGAAAGGACAGAATTTTTGAGACGAGATTTTGAAATAATAGACTTTTTTCCCAACGGCCAGAAGTGCCCTGTAGTAGGGTTGCGGTACTTCCGGTTCATGGTTTTCTGTGTCAAAATATCTGTGGAAATATCGCGCCTACTTTCCACCAGCTTCATAAATCTGCTCCATCACCAAATCTTCAACCAACAACATCCACAAAGGATAAACATTCTACCATGAAGAATTTATCCACAACTATCAAGGTAAGAAAGACGAAAGCTTATAGGCGACCAATGACAATGCATTAGTGAACTATTGAGCAAAACTTATGTTATGATAGTGAATAAAACATGAGTAACTTGTTAACTCAGACTGATTCAACAATTAAAATTAAAAATCAATTTCATGATGTCGATATTAGAATAGATGGACAGATTTGTGCAGTTTGAATGCAAGACATCTCCAGCATACCAGAACATTATTAATTATTATAAATGATTAGACTAAAACTGGACCTGCTCCTCTGTTCTCTGTGAAGCTCCAGCTCCTTCCGTCTTTTCCCTAAACACACTCGGTGCAGAAGGACGGATACAGAGGAGGAGTGCTTCTCTCTCTTCTTTCTCACTTTACACTAAGTTATGGAAGTCTAAGTCTATGGAAGTCTTAAATATCTCTTTGTGGATCTTTTTCAAAATATGTTCTGCGCTGTCTGTGGGTGAATTAGACACTCATATATTTGATCATATTTTTTCACGATCTTTTTTAACCAACTTTAGCCCTCTTTATCTGCATCAGTCTTAGTCCTATCACTTCAAAATAAAAACTGACTTCTGTCTTAATATGTGAGCTACATGTCTATGTGTGGAGGAGGTCTTTTAACTTAAATACACAAATACACAAATGAACAAGGCATGCAACTCTTTCATGCCGTTGCAAAATGTAAAGACTGAGGATACAATCTCGTGAGATAGATTTTCCTGTGAGTGCACATTCTCATGGCAATTTGACTTTGTGTTAAAACAAAGCTCAGATTAACTCATCACAGTGAATATTTAGGATGCTGAGAATGCATAAGGTAAGTAAGAAATACATTTGGACCACTGCAAACTGTATACAAAGAGACATTTCTGTTTTTTATGTTTTGAAGACAGTGGAAAAAAATGGTACTGTGCCTTTAAGACGGATTCAGGCTTAGTCACTAATCAGTGGGTTAGGTTAGGAGATAGTAAGAGAACATTTGTATTCAACAATGGAATAAGAAACAATACAACAATAATATGAAAAAGGAGCTCTAATGTGAATGTGGAGGAGCTCACCATGGAGAGGATGACCAGGGCAGGAAACACTCCCATCACAGTGTAGCAGATCAGCTCCATCAGCTTGTACCTGACACATACACATAGATACGTGTGAATGTGTATTTATTTGATAGCATCCTGGTACTATGCTGAGACACATAAACTTCTATCTGTGTTCTTGCTGCCTCTGCGTCTTTCCTTGCTTTTATGTTCTTGTGTACAGGATGAACTCCCCTTGGGCAATAAAGGGTTTAATCCAAAAAACATGCATGAACATTCACTTTAAAACAGTAAATATGTCAGAGTATAGCTCTAGGCTGTCAGCTCTGTAGGCACTGATGCGTGTAAACTGTACATGCATAAATCATGTGATATATAATGTAACTACAGTTCTATGAATCCCTATGGACTGCTCTGAATGCTTCCTTCCCTGTATCTGTTCCCAAAGCCATAAAAGAAATTCAACTGTTATGAAGTGCTACCATAGATACAATGAAGCCTTTAGCTATACCAAGCGAAGTCAAAGATAAACTGTGCAATTTTTCTGGTTATTCCTTTACCCGAAAAGCTGATCATAGCATTAAACTTGCTGCTAAAAATATCTTGAATTCATTACTCCATAGATCTGACTTGTCCTGTTGGAGTCAGAATACCGTATTTTCCGGGCTATTAGGTGCTCTGGATTATAAAGCGCACTGTCATTAAATGGTCTATTTTCAAACTTTTTTCACAAATAAACCTCACTGGACTTTAAACGAAACACAACAGTTGGATGGGTCAGTCGGACTTTGTTTGGCGCGTTCACGGTGACTCTGGGCTTTGTTCAGTTGTGGCGTGTAGGGAGAGTGCTGTCTGGGACCGCTGGATTGTTGGCATTTTCGCAGTGACTCAGTTCAGTTGTGGCTAGAAGTGGCACATTGCACTCGCTTTTTCGGTTCGTTCCTCTGTTCCGTTCCTCGTCGGTGTGGAGTGATGAGTGTGGCTGCGGGTGTTTTTCACCTCGCGGTCGCTGTCTGCTCCGTGTGTGTTTGCGTGCGCTGCGGATGGTGCAGCTTTGTAGTTAACTGAAGTCGTGCTGGGACACCCGAGTGGATTCGTGTATAGGGCGCTCTGGATTGCGGAGTGTGCAATCATTTTTTGATGGGGTTGGAGGCTTAAGAGCGTGCCTAATAGCCCGGAAAATACAGTATATGAGGACATAACCCAAAAGTAATGTCCTATACGTCTCATATAAAGCTGAGATTTTGGTGTTTTTTTAACTTATTTTTCTATTTTATTTTGACTCGTACATATACATTTATATAATTATGACTTATTTCACACCTGCCTCTTGCTATCTTTTTTGCTACTTATTTAGAATTTATTATTACCATTTATATTTTTTTCTCTTTGTTATATTGTGATGTGTGAGCTACTGTGTCCAAATAATTTCCCTTGTGGATCAGTAAAGTTTGTCTAAGTCTAAGTCTAACGATATAAAATAATGAGAACTTCGCACATTGATTACTTGAGACAGGTGTGTTGAAGGAGAGGGAACAGTCCAAGAACATAGAGAGAAATCTAAGTCTAAGTCTACCTCTCATGGAAGAAGAAGACGTAGGTGGTGCCGAAGGAGGCCATGACCCAGACGAGCCAGCGCATGTGACAGGCCCAGGGCCCCAGCTCACGCAAGTTCAGCCTGAAACACACACACACAATTAATACCAAAATCACACCTGACATGTTACATAATAACCATACTTTTCACCACATTCTTTGAGATTGTGTCGACTAAAATATATTGTATTACTGTATCACTCATTAAGGGGACACTCATTTTTAGTAGTGTTTGATCTAAAGGTAGAATTATTTGTTTTTGTCTTTATGAAATGAAATACGTAAGCATGATGTTTAAGTCAAGTATTCATCTACAGTATATTCAGATTCAGTTTTTGAGATTGCCCAGGGCCTACAGATGAAAATGGCCATGTTTTGGAACATGGTACAGGGCATCTTTCCTTTTTTGTTGCAACGTAACATTGTACACTATCCCTGTTATGTTAGGGGTGTGCAAAAATATTGAAATATCGATTTATCTTATCATTTAATTTGATGATACAGTATTGATCTTGTGGGCTGCTGTATTGATATATCCCCAGGAGTATTTTTAGGTGTATTTTACTAAATTATTTTGTATAAGAGCTACAGTTGTGTTGACATTTTAGCTATGTTCAGACTGCAGCCAGAAGTGACCCAAATCTGATTTTTCCACCCCTATGCGACCTGTATTTGATCTTTTAATGACTGATTTTTTTCAAATGCGACCCAGGCCACTTGGATATGTGCTCCTAAAACCAATACATATCCGATCTTTTGACATGTGACTTCAGTCTGAACGGCCAGGGCTCATTAATCCAACCTACACGTCATCAACAAGTGACAAATGTCACTATTCTGCACTGAAGTAGGCGGAAACTAGAAGAAAGCCACAACCATAGTGGACGACAACGGAAGAGAATTTTCAGGCTCTGACGGCTCAGAGTCTGATCAATGAAGGGAACGCAAGGTTAGCGAGTTGATTAATATTGAAATTTGAATAAATTTGCCATGGCCAAAAACCTCGTCCTTCTCTATCTCCTCCTTAAAACAAATAAGCTGTACATATGACAACAACTTTAAAAACTCCAGGTGCTCCATGCTGCGTCCATGTTTAGGTTACTTTCATAAACACTGAGCGCGCTCGCTGTGTGTGACGTCATCGTGTCCTCCAATGCGCATGTGGGACACTTTTGAGGCATTTAAAGTTCACACTGGAAATCACATACAAGTCACATTTAATTGGCAATGTGAATGACCTTGCGCAAAAAAAACAGATTTCACAAAAAAATCCGAATTGAGCATTAAGCCCTGCAGTCTGAACGTAGCTTTTCACTGTTTTGATGAGTAAAATGGGTGCTTGTTATATTAACTTTGCACAGACTTTGTGGTTTAATAAAGACTTTTAGTATCAGAGCCATAATTTAGCCTTTGTTTTTCACTGAACCGTACCGAATCAATTTGAAATATATCGTATTGAATTGTACTGAATCGAAAGTGCACTGTATCGTGGCCTATGTATCGAGGTATGTATCATATCGACAACTTCTTAATGATACCCAGCCCTCGTCCCTGTACAAATAAAATCACACTATACCAAAAAGTGACTTAAGTCTCAAGCTCGATCTCAAGCACACTATTTTGGTCCTTGAGTGGGATTCTAGAACAGTTCCATCCTCCATATGAGCGCAGAGGAGGGCAGTTCTCACCAGGGGGCGTAGGAGGCTGCGATGAAGAAGTAGATGACCATCCTGTCACACATGTGGAAGCACTGCTCCACAGACCTGAACACCGCAAACAACAGTCACAACATCATTCATAATTCATCACTCAGGTACTTCAAACATATCGCATAAAATAAACATCTATGTCACATTAAAGGCACTGAACCTGATTTTAATATTAAAAAGATTAAATTTTGACATTAAAGGTGGACTCTGTAACATTCTGGTTGGGAGCTTGAATATTTTTGATAAGCTTTAATGGGTCGTTTGAGCTGTTTGAGATATTTCTGACTTTTGAACAAAGCTTTTGTTGTGTGCCATCATGGTTACCGGAGGTGGCTCTTCTTCCAGGACACGGTGTGGAAAAGGGTGGAGATGATGAAGAGGGAGCTGAGGCCGGCCCCGTACAGCCAGGCCGACACGCGCTCCCATTGGCCCTCGGACAGCAAGTGAAGCACCAAGCTGCCCAGGAGACTCGGGATTATCCACAACTGATACACACACAGACATACAAGGACAAATACATTAAACATTACACAATTTACTCCTATGAGCTTTAATGTTAGAATGTTGTTACAAAAAAGTTAAAATGGGGATGATGTTGTGATATATGTATTTTCTTACGACATTGATTACTGCATCAGCCAATATCACGATATCATTATTTTGGTGATATGTTAAGCTTTTTCTTATTAAAATAAATTTTTAATAATAGTTTTGCTTAAACATTGAATCCAGAACAAGCAGAATATAAAATAATAACACATTTTTTAAATAAATAATGTCTCTAGCCTATCTGTAGCCAGTGGACCAGCTCCAATACATATTTGATGTGATCTCGTGGGCCAAAGATAATAATATCGGGCCTGAGTTTTGACATGTCTGCCGTAGGAAGAAGGGCAATAATGTCTTTCCCCTTTATGAAATTCACCAAACATTCTCTTTATTCCGGCTTTAAGTCCTCACTCTTGGGAATTGTTGACAACAGTCTTGTCTCTTTGCTCTTCGCTGATTGGCTGGTGCCTGAATTTGCACTTCTGGGGTTTTAGCGAACCGTCTATTGTATTTTGATTCCTGACCTAGTTGCTGGAGTGAAATTAAATTGAGCAGAGGCACTAAGGTGGTGCCAGCCTAGCTACTAGTGCAACCCCAAATGTGCAAATCATGTATCAAATTTCTTTCTTTTAAATCAAACATATCATCATGTACTGAAACATTTTACATTGCTTTTTAAACAAGAATTATTATGAATTGTTAGTTATTTATGCTAATATGTAAACCTCATGAAATAGCGCTTACAATTATTCAACTCAGTTTTTCTGTGGACCAGATTTGTCATCGAGCTATGGACTCTGGGCGGGATAGGCACATGACATATACCACTTTTAACACTAATCACAAATCTAATGTTGCACAAAATATCAAAATCTGTTTCAGTGTTAATGCATCAACAGCCGTTACATTTGATTTGGGGGAAAAATAAAAGACAAAAGGCTTTACAAAACTGCCTACCACTGAAACAGAATTAAACTACGACTAGTACCAACAAGGACTAAAGCAGAATATTTTTTTTTTTTGGAAGATTGGTTAAGATAGATAAAATGGCTTGGAGGGCCTGATCTGGCTTTTCTGGTGGAGGGTCCGTCAAATGCTTTTCTACATGGAGACATAAATGCTTTGCCTGGAATGTTTCACACAATGGCCTATCTATGTTCATGGAGACCAAACCAGACCAAGTTCCAGGTTAGATCTGTGGAGAGTCAACCCTGAACATTCCAGGTAGATCAATACATTAAGCTGAATAGATCTCCATTTTCTCTACTACTTGTTTCATTGCACTTCTGGGTACAAGCTTAACATGTTTTCATTATAATATACAATTTTTACGCTGTAAGAAGGGCTCTAAAACACAATGTTAACAAGATCTGAAAGTATGTAGTGTTGTCACCGTTCTGAAAGTGTAATCTGATGGTGATGTGCTCGTACCGCATGAGTGGCGCAGTTGGCAGCATGCTCGTACTCTGTGGGCTGATATCTCTTATGAGGAGGAACGCGGTTGTTCATAAACCTGCAACAAACAGCAACATGACAGAGCATACAGGATTTATACATTTGTATATTCGCATTTCAGGGCTGAGAATCCATAGGTCAAGAGCTATTTTGCATGACTCTTGTGAGTTCTAAGCCGAGTTATAATGTTGTTACCACATTAAAAACATACCTGGAGTTGTGTTTTGTTTCATTCCCACATGTTGGAGTAACCTTGCATTATTGGGCTGTCTACATTTCCAAAATTCAAAATGTTCTGTTTCACCTTGTGATGTCATGAAGCTGTAGTTGTCAAGTTAACAGCAACCTTTTACGTTTTTGTAGAAGAGCTTCGCAATTCCAGGGCTGAAATTATCACATTCGTTTCACATAACAAACATTGGCACATATTGAAGACCGACCCAGAATTGTCCCAGATATTTAAAGATCCACCTCTGTTTACCTACAGAAGAGGTAGAAAGACGCTTTGGTACATTCAGACTTCTCCCAGGACAGAGAAACACCAAACGCGCAAACTCTCCTTGCCCCTATTCCTCATGGCAGTTATAGATGTGGTAGTTGCGCTCAGTGCCACAGCACCACAAAGACGTCTCATTTTTATCACCTGGAAAAAAGTTCCCAATTAGAAGCGTTATTACATGTGCGTCCACTCATGTAGTTTACCTGCTGCACTGCCCGTGAGGTCTCGCTTATGTTGGAAAGACCATACTAAAACTAAACTAAGGCCCCGTCCACACTAGTACATATTCGAGTTGTTTTCGTTGTGGATGCAGTGTTCGTCCACACTAATCCGATTGAAAGCGGCTCCAGAGACGGAACGATCTGCAGAACACCCCTCTGTCACAGAAAGAACACTCATATTCCACTGAGTCGTGTCCTTTAGTCTGACAGAAGCTGAACCGCATCAGTGCACAATAGCGAGCTGTTTTGTGAGCTCTCAGTTTATGCAAATGAACCATGTGGTTTTAAATTTTGTTTCTGTAAAACATAACGTAAATACATAATGTAAATATGCTCAAATCTGTGTGGATAGGGAAGGCTTGCAGACACAGAAACGATGAGTCTGGACGCATATCGTTTCTGATACGGTGATACAGTGATAAGGTGATACGCGGTTTCGTTTCAGTGTAAACGTAGTCTAAAACTGCGCATAAGTGAGCACAAAAGCGCAATAAGATGCAGAGACCCTGACTCTCCAGTCGCTGTTCACTTAAACCAACTGAAACATCATATGTCGTCCTAATGTTCCTGTGGGATTGAACAGGTGCCTGTCCTGCGGAGGAGGGTGACCATGATCAGGTGCTAAAAAGACACTAAGACTATTGGATTTTCACTCTACCAACTCTTGCAAACTCTACAAAGTGTTGCAATGAAGAGCTTATATATACACCCTCCCTCTGAGCCACGAGGGAGGTTCATGTTCAATTTTGTCTGTATAATGAAACTTTTTTAATGTTGATAATTAACTTTGAATATTTTTCTAACAGTTATCCAGGTGTTTTAATTCACAAGAGATTGGTGTATAGCTTTATTGGGGTCTAATTATGAATATATTATTTTCACTGCTGTGACTGGAAGGTGACTGGAGAGACCTTACTCAAGGGGGCAGTCTGAGGGACCGAAACGTTGTGCGAATAAAAGAAAAATCAAGACTTACTTACAGCCTGGGAGAGATCACTAAATTACTCAAACATGCATGGATGGCATCTAAAACCTCTTCAGCCATGTTTTTGATGTGGAAACGACCTTATAACATTGTAAAAAGCTAAAACATAAATCGATTTTGCATAATACCCCCAACCTCCTTTTAAAAAAATCCAATTGTGGACATTTTACCTTTCGTATATTTAATATTCTCTGCCCTCCATTAGTCACTTGATTACATTAGGAGCTAGAGTCATGACTACTACATCTAAACTGACTTTTTAAATATACACATCTCATAATTCAGTCATATTTATCTAATCAAGTCTGCATTGTTGTCACTGTAATAGAATTTGTCCAGGGCTTAAGTGGCTTCTCCATACTCTATTTCCTGTATGATGAGATCTGCAGGCAGGACTTTGTGGGTCAGGAATAAGAAAAAAAAAACATCTACACCAGATTTATGTCAATATAATTTAAAATATTTGATTTGAAGACTGCTGGCCCTGAAACCTGGCTCTGAATAAGGGGAAAGCAGAAGGAAAGATGGCTTAAAGACGGAGTAACTTTTCTACGCCATGTTATTGCTTGGCCTGGAATGTCCCACAGTATGGCATTAAACATCTATATATCTCCATGGCGACAAGCAGGTAACGTATATTTACTGTCCATCCATTTCTATTCCTGTCTTCTTCCCCAAACATTTTTGCATCGGCATGTTAACACCGTCCTCTCACCCGCCCCATCCCGACTCCTCTGCTCATCATGCTTCATCCCGTCGTCACGGCAGCCGTCGCCTAGCAACAGCAGCCGAGCGCCTAGCAACCACGTCAGGTCTGTCATGCTCCCATCTTTCACCACAACACGCTCGGATTTATTAAGTAGTACAGCAAATGGGTCTAACTCAGGACTGGACCAGGACTGGACCAGGACTGAACCAGGACTGGACCAGAACTAAACCAGAACCGGACCAGGATTGCAAAAGGACTAAACTAGAACTCAAAAGGAACTATACCGGGATGAATCAGGACTGGACCAGGTTTGCACCAGGTCTACAAAAGGACTAAACCAGAACTGACCAAGGACTAAACCAGGACTGGACCTGGACTAAACCACGACTGAAACAGGACTATACCGGGCTGAACTAAGACTAAACCAGGACTGGACCAGAACTGCAAAAGGACTAAACCAGTACTGAACCAGGACTTAACCAAGACTAAACCAAGACTGAACCAGGACTAACCCAGGACTAAACGAGAGCTAAACCAGAGGTGAACCAGAACTAAACCCGGACTGAACCAGGACTCAACAAAGACTCAATCAGGACTAAAAAAGGACTATACCAGGACTGAACCAGGACTAAACCAGGACTGAAACAGGACTGAACCAAGACTGAACCAGGTCTAACCCAGGACTAAATGAGAGCTAAACCAGAGGTGAACCAGAACTGAACTAGGACTAAACCAGGCCTAAACCAGGACTGGGCCAGAACTAAACCAGGACAGGACCAGGACTGAACCAGGACTAACCCAGGACTTAATGAGAGCTAAACCAGAGGTGAACCAGGACTGAACCAGGACTAAACCAAGAAAAACCAAGACTAAACCAGGACAAAGGCAGGACTAAGGCAGGACTAAACCAGAACTAAACCAGGACTAAACCACCTTAATCAGTACTAAAACCAGGACTATAAAATACAGACACCCAAACAAAACCTATCCCTACTCATGGATGAACCAGGACTAAACCAGGACTAACCTAGAACTGGCCCAAGTCTGAACCAGGACTAAACCAGGACTAATAAACAAAAATGCATTTATGGAATCCAAGTCTAAACAATGACTAAAACCAGATCTTCATGAGCGCTAAACCATGACCATAAAACACAGACACCCAAACACCCCCCCCTTCGCCTGATGTCACCGTTGCCATGGAAACCTCCGAACGGGGATAGTCGTGCCTCATTCTTTTTTTCTTTTTTTCTCACGATGGAAAACACCTCCTCCCCTCTCTCCTCCTCCCCCCCTCTCTAGTTGACGTTGTCTGGTCTGTGTCCCCATTAGTGAGTGGACTGAACGCCTGAAAGGTCCGGTAGGCCTATGTAGGATAAAAAGAATAGGCCCCTGTCATATTCGATAACGGAAAAAAAGAGAGAGAGAGAGAGAGAGGGCCTTGTGTTTGTAGCATCGTAATGAGTCACGCAGAGAAGGAGCAGTGTGGGGCGGTTAGGTAATCACATTGTTGTCATCTGTGGAATACACAATGCAGAGATGAGAGAGGGACCTGGTTTAGTCCTTGTTTAGATCTGGTTCAGTCCTGGTTTATGTCATGGTTCAGTCTTGGTTTAGTCACAGATTAGTCTCGGTTTAGTCCTAGTTCAGTCCTGGTTTAGTCTTGGTTTAGACCCGGTTCAGTCTTCTTCATTCAGTCCTGATTTGGTCTTAGTTTAGTCCTTCTTCAGTCCTGGTGTAGCTCTGGTTTTATTCTTGGTTTGGTCTTGGTTTAGTGCTACTTCAGTCCTGGTGTAGCCCTGTTTTGGTCTCAGTTTGGTCTTGGTTTAGTCTTGGTTTAGTCCTACTCCAGTCCTGGTGCAGCTCTGATTTAGTCTTTGTTTAGTCTTGGTTTGGTCCTGGTTTAGTCTTGGTTTGGTCTTGGTTTAGGCCTGCTTCAGTCCTGGTTTAGTCCTGGTTTGGTCTTGGTTTGGTCTTGGTTTGGTCTTGGTTTGGTCTTGGTTTAGTCTTGGTTTCATTTTGGTTTAGTCCTGGTTTAGTCTTGGTTTAGTCCTGAGTTATGGAAAGATTAGTTCTAGTTTAATATTAATTCCTAACACATAACCTATTTAAATCACCATGTTAACCTTTACTGAAAACTTTACTCCCTGTATTAAGCCACTCCCCTTTCAGAACGCTATCATAACCCAATCAGTGTGCATCCCCTAATGAAAATCCTGCACATCACATCAGGTTTCTCAAGTGACTGTGTACAGTTTTGTATCATGTTTTGTATTTTTATGGAGAAGAGTTTGAATAGGGCCTGGGAGAGATCACAAAATTACTCAAACGTGTAAGGATGACATCTAAAACCTCTTCAGACATGCTCTTGATTAGGGAACAAAAAAATCTATTTTTACACGATACCCCCTCTTTAAATGAACACAAACTGAAATAGCAACAAAGAGGCAGTAAAGGTAGTGAAAGCCCTACAGCCTCTGGAGTACGAGTCCAAATGTAAACGGGACAATGGCCAGAGGCGGAACAAGACATCCTGTTTCCACGGAGAAGCAGAAAGAGAATGAGGCAAAAAGGTTACATTTAATTTTTATTGACGTACTCACTAACGTGTTATAAAAGTAACAAATTACTGTAATGCATTGCT